CTCGACACGCACGATCTCCGCAGAGGGTTGCGCCGGACAAAGCCAAGTCGCACTCTCGCCTGCATTTCGCGCCCTCGACACGCACGATCTCCGCAGAGGGCTGCGCCGGCACTGCCCCCGGCCTTAAGAGAGAAAGTTAAGAAGAGCGAGAGGTGAAGATGTGAGATGTAGATGTGAGGATGTGAAGATGAGCAGAGATGTAGATGTGAGGATGTGAAGATGAGCAGAGATGTAGATGTGCAGATGTGAACATGAGATGTAGATGTGTGAAGATGAAGATGAGCAAAGATGTAGATGTGCAGATGTGAAGATGAGCAGAGATATAGGTGAGAATGTGATTGTGCAGAGGTGAAGATGTGAAGATGTAGATGAGGTGTAGTTCTGCAGATGTTTTTTTACGAAGAACCCTTCGCAGGCGCTTTCGGGAGAAAGGGGAGGACGAGAGGGAAAAAGGGGAGGACGAGAGGGAGGGAATTTTGGGAGGGGTTTAGTAAGGTATATTTCTGTCAGACTCTTGAAGGGGATGGTGATCGATTGGGTGAGAGTGCAGTTCTACAGGCCTACAGGTAAGCATTTCTTTCCTAGAGGTTCAATCTTCACGTTTGTGGAAAGGGTTAAGTAGTGATGGTGATACTGAAGCCTCCCGGCCAGAACAGGAGGAGCCTTCGGAAGCTTCTCCGTTGGCCAACCTGCCTCAAGGACTTACCACATTGGGTGCTTCAAGCATCTATCTGAGACAAAACATGGACACAAGGCAGCACAAATGGATCTTGCACGCACCACGTAAGCAAATTCTTCCGCACACGACACGTTGGGACAGGTCCTTTCGGGTAAAAAGAACACGGTTTGGCCATCATCATGTGGGTGTGTCCTTCAAAAAAACCAGTTGGACTGGAACATAGATCGACTCAGCCAAACCGAAGCCCATTGGCTTCAAGAACCTCGAGGATCGAAACTCAACAGAACATGTTGATATAACGGTCGACTCTTTGCTTGCAAGAGTAAAACGATCCGCACACCAATTCACGCCAACCCATTCATGTCAACAGGGCCGACCTGCAACCCCCCCGAAGACGGACGTGGGTTGTCTGTGTTCTTCGCGTGGTCTGCCGTCCAGTGGTTCCTCCCTTGCAACGATCCTCATATTGGTCCATGTTGAGGTCCCTGGTATGAGAGTTTTCATTGAAAGAGGCGAAGAACCACGTACGGAGAGTCCAAGCCCATCATAAAGTGGATCAAGAACCAATTGGTTCATATTTATGACCTCTCCCGAAGCAAACACGTTATTTCGGCATTGGAGTGCCGAGACTCCAGATCGCTTTGACCCCTTCTTCCTCACACTTTCACACCAGGAGGCTAAGAGCTCCCAGAGGGACTCCACACGCTCCTGGCCAGGAGGTACTTAGCAAAATGATCAAGATGTCGCTCATATTTACCATACTATTTTAAAGCTTATTCTTCAAAGCATCTATGGGTTTCGATGCCAAGGCAGCTTGGGCGTTTTCCATTTCGACCGAGGATGTCTTTCTCCAGTGCACGGCCCGCCTGAGGCGAACCCCAAAGAACACCCCTGGTTTTCCCCACGGTTGCAATGAACGGAGTACTACACAACTGGTCAACCTACTCCCGGTCTCTTAGGTTTTCAGGTTTGAAACCGCATGGGCACATGAAGCCTCGGCTCCTGCGAGGTGAGGGTCTGGTCACATGTTCAACCGTTCCTGGATGTTCTGCGTCTCTCCCACTGGTTTGTTGCCGCTCCTGCCGTAGGTCCTCTATCTCCTGGCAGGCTCGCAGGCTCGCTTTGGCGCCCGTCGCCCGTCTGTGACAAAGAAGGGACCGGCCCATGTCCTCCCGAGGCCCAGGAGTTCCCTGCGATTCCTCAGCCCACCATGGTTTTGTTGGTCTGAAAAGCCGAGAGACAAAAATGGCTGAGCCTACGGACCGGCTGGACTACAAAACCAGGTAAACCGGTAAACCATATTTTTTGATGGTCTTTGAAGGCTATTGTTACACAGTTACACCGATCAACCACCAAACTTGCGGGATTGGGCCGCCATCGACTCTCAATCCATCGATGGAAGGAACAGCTTTTTTCTAGTGCTTTGCCCTGGCATCTGGCCGGGAAAAGATCTCCCAAAAAGCTGGTTCACCGAAAGTGGAAGCCTAGAAAACCCTTCAAGGGAGGAGAGTCGGTGAGATGCTGTGAACCAGGAACATGATGGATCATGGCGGATCATGGCACACGTCCCACTTTTTTGATCCTTCATTCGTTTTGTGACTCTGAGGGCTCCCTCGTGTTCACCCCTTCTCAGCTGGTCTACCAGCCTCAAACTTCTGCAGCCACTCTGCTTGCAGCTCCGTGGTCCTCAGAGACCGCAGGCGAACCGACACGCGATGGCCGGCGCTCCGTAGTTCTACGCGACGGGCGCGTTCCGTTCCCAGGTTCAGATGGTCTACAGGATGTCTGGATTCTTCACCCATGTTTTGAACACTCCGGTGATGTTTTGAACACCTTTGCGCACCGGGACCAACCTGTCAGGTGGCGTTTTTTCGAGAGCCTCTGACATCAAACACGTCCTTCCCTTGGCATCTTTCCTCTTGTCTTGCCATGGCATAACCTCACGAAACGCACCTCCGAAAAAACATCCCCCCTCGCCGTGAAAACCTGTCCACCCAGTGGCAAGCACACGGAGGTGCTATTTGGGAGGCAGTAGCTGGCACACCAGCCCCGATCATCGCACATCTGGATGATGCCTCGCTGGCGTCACTTGGCAAGACGACGAAACCGGAGATCCGGGCACTCTCTTGCTTGCTTGATGTGCGGATCCACGAAACTGCGCCATCTAACTCAACCGGTGATCCCCTTTGAGATACCGCAGTTTCACACCAATCGCGCTCAGAAAAAGAACAAAGAGGACACTGTGAGCGACCAGCCATTGGTCACATGAAGGCAGTGGGGATCGAATCGACCGTGAAAAAATGCGATTCGACGATGTATTAATAACAAGAAGCCACTAGTAACAAGTGCATCGCTACTAGTAACAAGTGCCTTACTAGTAGTAACAAGAAGCTATTAATTTAAAGCGACTGTAGTATGTCCATGACAGTTCTCACATTGGCAATCAGTACGCCATGAACGCTCTTGTTGGGCCAGAACTGGGAAGACGGTGAGCCGCCGTACAATCCCTGCACCTCCAAAACGGGGGAAGTTTGGACCATCCACTGAACCGTGTAAGCATTATGTAGCATCAAAGCACTGAAAGCATCGGCATGACCATCACTGAAAGTTCAAAGCATTGAAGCCACTCAACAGCCAAGGCTTTTAGGGACCATCTGAAATTTACACTTCCTTGTAGCAAGAAGCTACTAGGTTGGAGGGCCATCGCTTCTAATCCCTTCCTCTCCCATCCTTCCCCTCCAAGTGGCTCTCGGCGGCCGAGCGAGTGAGGCCTGTCGGACGAGTGAGGCCTGTGTCTCGTCCGAAAGACTCGAAGGAAACAGAAAGAGGGCCCAGCCCCCCCGCCGGGATGGAGAGGTCCCTTTTGGTTTTGAAGTCTGGGTTTCCATTTCCGTTTGATGTGGAGCATTCATTTAGGCTCGCAGGACACCATGGTTTTTGGCTGTTCATGGAAGAAACCGTACCCATCATACAGTTGTAGCAATCAACGGCACCTTGGACTTGCAAGTTAAACTGGAGCCAGTCGTTCATGGACAAAGGCCTATACGGGAATCACACGTCGCAATCGCTTGACTTTAATGTGCAGTTTTCAGTTGCCATCAGTTGCTCAAATCCCAAAGCAAATGGACGAGAGAGCCATACCCCAACCACAGACCCATCACTCTCCTTCTTCACAGCCTGGTGAGACTGGTGAGAAAAACATGCTGGGAATGGGAATCAAAATCTATCCTTTTTTTTGACGGTGCTATATGGTGCTACTTGGGTCGTCTGGTGGATGAATTACGGGAGAATTCCCCTACCACGCTGTGCTAGGTCCATTGAAGCTGGGTTGATTCAAGTATCCAGGTGAGCATCAAATCCCAAAGGGAAGCTTTGGATGAGCAACCCCTCCATAAAGGGAAGGAAACAGCTTTCACTTGGCCAAAACTGACAGAACACATCGATTCACCATCCAACACAAACGGGCCACTTTAATTTCAGCCCCAAACGCTCCGTGGCCCGACACGGCGCGATGCGGCCTCGGGAGAGGAGGACCTGCGGCGCCGCTTCCTTCGGATCAAACAGGGCCGCCTGGGCGAACCGAAGCGACTGAGGCGGGTCGAGTCGGTGGGGAGAGCGCCGCGGGCAGCGACACGGACAAGGTATGGCGGAAGTGTTGAAGGATTAAAGGTCTTCTAGTAACAAGAAGCTACTAGTAACAAGTGCATCGCTACTAGTAACAAGTGCCTTACTAGTAGTAACAAGAAGCTATGAGAAACAATATAGGATTAAAGGTCTTCTTCGACCAGAAACGTAGTTTTCTCATGGCGGGTCTCTGCAGGAATTGATCCTCACAGCTTGCTTCATGCTTGTGAGTCAAGCCGACGCCGATGAACATGTTTTGCACAACCGATGGCCGAGGGTGTAGAATCATCGGGTCGCCCATAGCACTGGTAGCAAACCCAACGCAGTCTTTTCAACCAAGGTGAACAATCAACGGAACTCATGAATTCCTTCGAACCTGTCCTCCTCGGTCGTCGCCCGACCGCGTCCGTCCTGTAGTTGACTTATTTAGAAGGAATGAGTCCAGCAACCAACTCCGCCAGCTCATCAAGAAACTTCTATTGTGGAGAATGAAAAGGAAGTCAAATTTACAGCGGTGAAATGGACCTCTGGCGTGCAAGCGCAAGCTTCGTCATAGAAAGCCCCAATCCATCCTGTCGGTGCCCATCCAAGCGACCAAAAACAAAGGCGACGTTGGAACGCAGTTCTCGCCTCGTCACCCCCTGTATACTCGCCTCTGAACTCTTTCTTGGACTCGTCGCCCGGGTTGCGGCAAACCGTCACCGTCACCGACTCTACGTCGCGTGCCGTCGCGTCACCCCGGCCCTGCAGCAGTTTCTGCCGAAGCCACACAGGTCCCATTGAAGCAAACCGTCGGCACCGGCCGCTGCAAGGTCAGCTGGGCGACGTAGGGCTGGCGCGAGTGGAAGAGAGATTTGGCAGCGCAGGTGGCTGGTGTCGGCTTTAGGGAACAAGGGATCTTCGGGATGATTCCATTTTGGGACCCACTTCTGAAGAGCCTCGTTCGAAGAGACGCTTGGATTTGGAGCGAAGAGAAGCTCTGAACGGACTAGGCCCCTCAAGGGGCCCCTGAGGTCCTTTTCGAGCTCCGGTACTGCGAGAGTGAGAGGAAACACGGCCCCAGAAGGCTGGAATCTTGGGTGGAGTTCCGGATTCGATGTCTTCACTGACAAACTCTCCAAACTTTCCAACAGCCTCAAAAATGGAACATTAGAACATGAGCGCATAAGGGAGGTGGTATCTTTTGATGTCATACGAAAGGTGATTCACGTGGCCCAGACAAGTTAAAAAACAGGAGCCCAGTCAGTCCAGTCAGTCAAGGGGAAGAAAAGTCATGAAAATCACATACTCCACCACCTGGTTGCTGAAGCCAGTCATTTGTTATGATACGATATGATTCTGCCAAGTCCTCCAAAAAAGAACAGTTCAACCGTTCAACCCCATCCACAGCACACAGCTGGGCCAACCATCAGCCGCCCTGAAGCGCCCTCCAGGGGCTTTTCCCGACGGTGCCTGCAACGACCTCAAGGGCCGCCCGGTGGCCAAGATCACTTGCACCTCGGACCACCCCCCGGAGCTTCCCGAGCGCTCCCCGGTCGAAGCTCCGCGAGGACGGCGGCTCCGGTGCATCCGCACGGAGCACGGACTCCGCTGGGACGGACGGAGTGTCCTTCGTGCGAGGAAGGACCGGAGCTTCCGAAGGGCAGGCCACGGACAGCACACATCCAATGATTCCAACCCAAACGCTCAGTCCTTTGGAGCCTTGGAGGGTCGAGACTCTCCACAAGACTCTAGAAGTACACGTCAAATGGGGTCATACCATCTACGGAATCAGGGCTCCTGGCCTCACTACGAACGGATCGCTCCTTCACCGATCGAACGCCGCTACGAACGGAGCAAGGACGGGGCTTCGTGTCTTGAAGATCCGTCGACCGACGGAATGGCCTGTTCCCACATGTCCCACTGCCGACGGAAGACGCGCCCGGTGAAGACTTCGTGACGACCCCGAAGAGGACCGGTTGGTTGAGAGGAAGGGCGAAAGAAAAGAAACCGGGTTGCGGGTCTCTTGAAACAACTGGAACATATATCAGCCTGGCGGCCTGCGCCAGGTGTTTTTGGTTTTTCCTTCACCCCACCTGAAGTCTTTGGAAGTGTTGCCCATTCTTTCACCGAGTGGCTCCTGCTGCTTCCTTGGGACACGCGAACCAGTCATGTCTCACATGTGCGGTCGCTGATGAGATCGGGGGAAGGGCTCGGAATCTCTCGACCAAACCGATTTGGTTTTGGAAGGAGTTGGGAGGTAACCTAGGTTCAATGAGGCCTACCACCCTGAACCCACCCCCCTGATGGGAACATCGAACAGAACCACTGGCCTTGGTACGAATCACGGGTCTCAACCACGGGAACCGGAGGATACTGTATACCATTCCTTATTCTCTACGCAGCCGCGTGTCCTTCCTCTACAAATCAATGACGTCTCTCCAAGTTGAGATCTTTGGAGGTTGGGAGCAACGCCCGGTTTTGACCTCGATCGTGCGATGATGAACGTTAGCAGCTAAGGCAAGTAATTGGGTCCTACGGTCGACCCTCGAACCCCTCCTTACACAAGCAAAGGTGGGACCTTCCGAAAACCTTCCTGCAATGACCCCAATAGGAATTTGGTTGTTTGAAGTCGAAGCCTGCTTGAAGTCGAAACGACGACTTCTAAAGGGAAAATGGTCTTCCACCAAGCAATTACAGCTGGTTGTTCGAGGATGCAGTTTTTTAGTCCTGAAGCCAACTCACATCTCAGCCTCCATGTATCTGTTCTTGGGTTTCCTCGCTCGGGGACCCAACCACTTGGACGTTCCACCCAAAAACAAAGACCCATTCCACTCTTCTTTTGAAACCCTTTTTGCTAGGAACCTCCTCGCGTTTGGGCTTTCTAACCGCCTTCCATAACCATCCTTTCAAGGGCCCGTCCCACGGCGGGAACGTGCCGGACCGGCCCCATCCGTGGCCCCAGCGGCGACGCGTTGGATCGCCTTCAAGGTCCGCTCGCTCAGCGCGTGGACCTCGTTCAGCGTGGTCCTCGGACCGGCTGAGCGCTCCAAGCGCATGGTGCGGCCGATCTCAGATGGAACGTGTTTGTCCAAGTTCGTCGAATGCATCACCTTTGACTCGTGACCATGACTATCAGCATCCAGCTGTCAGGCAAATTCGACGATCGCCCATGTCTGAGGTATCAGTATCAGACATGTACTGTGACATGGAACCACTCTCATTGCGTAAAGCCATTGCTAGTAGGAGGTTGGAGACCATTACTTACTAGGGTGAAGGCTATTGCTATTAGGAGCAAGGCAAGGACGCTACGAACGGGGCTCCTGGCACCGCTACGAACGGAGCAGGGAGGCTACGAACGGGTGGAGGCCATCGCTCTTGGATCGTTCCTATTTCCGTAACAAGAAGCTATTAGTAACAAGTGCCACGCTACTAGTAACAGGTGCCTTACTAGTAGTAACAAGAAGCTATTAGTAACAAGTGCCACGCTACTAGTAACAGGTGCCTTACTAGTAGTAACAAGAAGCTATTAGTAACAAGTGCCACGCTACTAGTAACAGGTGCCTTACTAGTAGTAACAAGAAGCTATTAGAATTTAATTAATTATTACCCTTTCTCCTTTGACTTATTGTTTCTAATAGCGTCCTTGTTACTACTAGTAAGGCACTTGTTACTAGAAGCGTGGCACTTGTTCCTAGATGCCTCTCCCATCGCCGAGCGTCCCATCCAGGTCCAGCGCCACGGCCCGGAAGCGGCCCCGGGCGAAGCGAGACGTCCGGGCCGCTGCATCGGCGGCTTTCATCGCAGAGGACAGTCCGGTGACTGGGGTGTTGACAGGTGTTTTTCCATAAGGAAACAGGAGTTATGAGTTGCTTTATCATACAAAAAACAACAAGAGAACAACTGGGACTTTGTTTTTTTTTTCAACATTTTCATTTATACTATTGTGTTCTATATAAGCGGATCTTTGCAGATTTAGGTGGTGAACTTTCATTTTAGACCCTGTCTTGAAACATGGTACAAAAGTAAAAAACAAAGAGCGGCATCTTTCTTTCATCTGTCTCCAGAGTCTTTTCATTGGTTTTCTTCCCGCAGCCTGCTTTTCAGGCGGAGAACCCACTGACTGTTTGCTCAACATAAGGCGTTTGCTTTCCCAAGTCAAGTGGAGGACCTTACCCTTGCCCTGATACAGTCTGATAAATTCAAGAACTGGAAAACCGACCTACGGCCCCACGGTCTAAAATGAAAGAACCAAAGCACGTACAGATTGTCTATCATGAACAGGGTGCAGAGGTCTACTGGCAATTTTCGCACCATGTTAGACCTCAACGCGTCGACCCCTATTCAATTGAGGCTCACTCATTCTAGACCCTAAGTAGTTGAGGGTCTGTTTTCGCCAGTTCTCAAGACCTTGAGCCAAGATCTGGAGTCTCGACCACTGTAGACACCAGTCCCAAGCAGAAACAAGTCTAGATGCTTCCCCAGTCCCCCACTTGTTATGTAAGGATAGCAACCATTTGTTTCTGGTTTGTTTGGGCTTCCTCGTACAAGCGGACGTGGCCTTGAGTAGCTTACTGAGCTATGTGGAAGTGGCTGCCACAAGAATCCTTCGCCCCATGTCATGTGACTCCCATCACCATGCCAACTCCGCTTCGTCTCCTCCGTCCGAGCGGCGGTCATGGCATCAGCAGACCGACCGACGGCTTCTTTCCTTCCTACTACCTGGTGTCGGTCGACCGGGGGGCGGCAGCCAGGATGGCCAGGTCCTCCTTCACGACACTCCCTGAACACTCACATGGAAAACCGTGGACGGCGTCGCCCCAGTGGAATTACAATTTTTGCGAAGACCGAAGAGGGATGAGCAGGGGGTGAACTCACCGCACTTCCGTGTGAGTTCCAAGAAGAGTTCGCTTCTCTCTTCCTCGAACGAACCCATAGACTTCCAACCACTATTAAATTAATAGGCTTTAACGAACCAACTAAGGATTTTACACTACAAAAACCAGTTCAACCTTTTTTTCAAATGGTCTTGGAAGTCTACGGAAGGGTTGCGACTGAACAGCCGTTTCCTTCCTCTTCGCTGTCAACCAGCCTCACGTGGGCGCAGAGCGGGCCGGAACGTCCGGAAGGTCCGGGAAGAGGCGACCCAGCTGATCTTTCAGAGACTCCGGTAGCTTCAGATGGCTCAACGAAGCACAGCCTAGGAAGGCCTCGTCTTCAATATACGTCGAATCTGGAATGATTAATGTGGTCAAAGAACTGCAGCCAGAGAAGGCACTTCTTCTTATCCGAGTGACCGTCTCAGGGATCGTCAAGGTTGTTAAAGAGCTGCACTCTGCAAAGGCAGCAAGACCAATCTCAGTAGCAGAGTTGGGGAGCGTGACATTTACAAGCGACCTGCACCCATAGAAGGCTTTGTGTTCAACAGTAGTGACAGAGTCCGGGATCCTGACCTTTGCCAGGGATGTGCACGCTGAGAAGGCATGGTATCCAATCCGATCGACAGAGTCAGGGATGGTCACACTTCTCAGGGATTTGCACCCTGCGAAGGCATAGGCTTGAATCTCTTTCACGGAGTCAGGGATCTTCACATGCGCGAGGGAACTACAGCCATAGAAGGAACTATCCTCAATCTGAGTGACGGAGTCCGGGATCCTCACCTTCGCCAGGGAAGAGCATCCTGAGAAGGCACTGTCGCCGATTCGCGTCACCGAGTCGGGGATCTGCACATCGACGAGCGCCGCGCACCCAGCGAAGGCGCTGGGGCCGATCACCGCCACCGACACCGGGACGCTCACGCGGAGCAGCGCCGTGCAGCCGGCGAAGGCGCCCAGTTCCATGACCTGCACTCCGTCGCGGATCCGCACGTCTCGCAGCTCCTTCCGATCGTAGCCAGAGGTTCTTTTGTTGGTGCACTCCACCGCGGGGTTCATCGTGAAAAGGACCTCGGGAAGATCCCAGTCTTGGTGGGGTGTACCTATAGAACTATGGAGGGTTCACTGCATGGACCTCGGGGAAACCAGGGTGACATTGTCGTGACAATCGCGGCAACAGTTCTTTTGCCTTTTTCCATAAGCATGAAAGGTCGTATTGTTTACAGAAGCTCTTTGATGGTGGGCTTCTACCATTTAGCAAGGAGAAAGATTGCAATGGATATTGTACGGCATTGTCCATGACTGACTCGTGACAGCCCCATTCACAGCCCCTGACAGGACGCCGGCGACAGGACTGCTTGACATTGAGACTTATTGGAGAACTTGACATTCAGCAACCAATCCGCCTGCAAATCTGCTGGAGACAAGGCTGAAACCACCATCTCATCATCATCCAGCTTCCTTAGTAACTTAGTGCAGGTGCATGAGGCTGGATGTAGAGCATAGTATAACACAATATATGACATGTTCAGGCTGGGTTCTTGTGCGTGACTGAACTTTATTCAGTGCTAGTGCTACCCTCAAACCTGGAGAGGTACACATGCCATCGACTTAGGATTGTCTGTGCGGTGCCAAGCTAGGCTTCCAAATTTCTGATTCAAAAATAAATCAACCATCGCAAAGACCTCGGGGCACCTCACTTGGAGTGCAAGCTGCAAGCACACGCTTCGAGACGCCTTCGAGAAGGTTTCCTTCGAAGCCACTGACCCAAAAAGAAAGCCTTCTCAGCCGGATAACAGGCACAACATATGGGAGTGTTTCCTTCTTCTCAGCCACGGAACTTCCACAAAACGTCTCAATGTCATGACAATGCCAGGCTTCCTTCCCTCGGGGCGGATCACATGCACGATGGTGAGCTGCCGAGTGATCGGGTCTTCAGATGGATGCCAGGCCTGTCTGTCATGGAATTCAGTGCATGTTCCAGCCTATTTCGAGCAGTGAAACATGTTGGATGAACAGGAAAAAGAGAGATGCCCCAAAATACCTAGAGGAACCAAAAGCCAGTGCTTGGAGGGTCTTCTTATTCCGATACACAACCATTTAGATGTCCATTCATTCAGTGTTAGACAGTCGAGGTGGACTGAGGGTGGATCGTGATGCAACACTCCTGAGCCCACCACACGTGTCCCAGTCCCCCCCTATCATTCGCCGTCCATTTGCAGAAACCCACATGCCTGCCTTCATACGTTCCTTCATCTCCCTGATCGTCGTATCTGGCATGACTTCTAAGACACGAACATCGCCATTCATCAACTGCATGCTGATTGAGGTGGGGCTCGCTGCCGCCATGGCGAAAGCAAGTCATGTAACTAGAATTAAGTTTTTACTTTAAACTTAATTCTAATAGCTTCTTTGTTACTACTAGTAAGGCACCTGTTACTACTAGCGTGGCACTTGTTACTCGAAGCGAACAAACCGGGTCCCTAGGTTCGGTTAGGGTGCGTCCATCGTCGAGAGCTCAGTGACCATTTTCGAACACAGGAGAGGCATACTGGTCAGTCGACCACACATCTTCCACATCTGCTTTTCCAGTGTGAGCTGAGTTTTTCTCGTGTCAATCGAAAAAAAGAACACACTCACACACTCACTCACACCGTGTGCCAACTACTTAGGGTTTCGAACTGTTATGTCTCGATCCGAAATGGCCGTTCCAGCGATTCGTCTCGACTCTTCACGGGGAGACCACAATGCACGAGAGAAGACGTGGGACGTCCATTTCCGCCGCGGATCGCGGAGGACGGGGCAGCGCGGATCGAAGAGGAATGAGAGCGGGTGACTGTGAGAGAGAGAGAGAGAGGTGAGGTCTATGGTGCGGCTCCGACCATGGGAACGACGGGACGCGATCCGCGAAGCCGTCGGTTTCAACATGCGGGGTATCGGAGTAGCTTGGGTGGTTCGAAAGCAGGGATTGACATGCCGACATCGATCGCACACATGTCCAAACGCGAAGGAACCTATGTCATTCAATTCCGTTCTCTATGTCTATACCGTCTCAAAAAGAAGGACACATCGGGCCTGTCGACTGCTCAGTTCCCATGACATCCATCATCCGGTCTTTCAAAAAGGATGACGGTAACTGTTGATACTATTTCACCCGCCTGTCTCCAGAAAGGTTGTACATATCTTCACGAATTAATTTGCTGGAGGGTTTTATTCATTCACAGTGTACGTACTTGAACCTTTCCACAGAACAGGGTGCTGCCCCTCTAATCCTCGGCTGCCGTTCTTTTCCTGGGCCGTGTCCAACGACCTGGAGGGAACAAAAAGGGCCAACCCCGTGGCGCTTTGGGAGAATTTTCTCGGAGTAGGCCGCCGGCCGTCTGTAAAGTACTTGTTGTACTCTGGGGTCGGGAAATGGATGAACCCGTTTTGCTATGGAAGGCATCCCGTTTTGTGCGGTTGGCGTGGCTCGGTGGCATCCAAAAGGTGGTATTCCCAGTTCAAGATCCACATCTCCCCGGTGGAGAGGGGTAGCCACTGGTGAAGTGGTGTATGTCAAGTGTACAGAAAAGGTTGGGAGTTGCCACATCTATCCCCCTAGCTATTGTCGTTCCCTTCGTGCCACCATGTCTTGCCTGGCAGGTTCTTGTTGCTCCGCGATTCTGCAGGCAGGCATTCCACTTCCTGGCACGAGATCTGAGATCCAGATCCCGGGAAAGACACATTACTTTCGATCGTAGACTACACTAAGACACTCAAGACTCTTCAAAACAGCTAGAACGTCTGCTTCTGGTCCTCCTTTTTTGGATGGTATCAGGTCTTCTGTGTGTATCTTTCTGTAGATGCTTCATGCTCAAGGCATTTCTACATACCCTGGACTTCCAATATCCTAGTTCTGTTGCAGTCTCAAACCGTTGGTAAAAACGGCGACTGTTGGGATCTTGGTTTCAACAACCACAACGACTCAACGACCAGTGGCGACCTACTTCCCCATCCCTACAACCTGGAAAACCCTCGCCCGGTTTTCCGGGGCGAGCCGCTGGTGAAGGGCGGGGCCGGGGGCGCTGCCCGGTGGGAGTCACAGCGCTGGTCTTTTCCAGCTTAGCATGACTTGGACTCTCAATCCTGCTTGTTCGCAGAGACCATCTTTGGCGAAGGTTTTCAATCAACTCTTCACGAGCATCCTCTAATGCGATCACGGTAGTGGCTGTCCATGGCGTAGATGAGATCATAGATGCTTTGAGAGTCGTTGTAGCAGAAAGTGCGGAACTGGTGGTGTTCCATGTCAATCACCTCCGTTGCACAAGGATGCTCGCCGGTATTTTCCCAACAGATCCAGCGCGTAGTCAAGGAACTGAATTCCTTCCAGAATGCATCCACTACATAAGGATAGGCCCGGGTGCAACGAAGTCACCAGCTCAGGGCTTGGAGGACATCATGCAGGAGAGTCAATCCAAGCCTTCATACAGGCCGCCCTCTGTATTGGTGGCAGTAGCTGTAATGAACCACTGGCGACGACGCAAGCTGAGAAGTCCTAGTTTGTCAGTCACCTCTGGCGCCCTCATTGCTCCAGGCAAGTCCTTCGCAAGCAGTCCCCTAATGACATTGCCATCAAATATCATAAAATGACTTGGACTGAAGGTAACTTCAAAAAAAGCACTGTATCGAACTCCGACACTTCATGCGTTACTTATGAATGAACATGGCCCAAAAGAAAGGACATACTTTGACATGATGCATGAATTGATAATCACATTGCTCATCGTGCAGCGTTTCGTCTTTGCAAATCAGACTTAGGCTTTCGCGTAGACCAGCAGGGGGACATCTTGCATTTCATCTTTGAACTGGTGGTGTTCCAAGTCAATCACCTCAACGGCGGAAGCACAGAAGGGGTATGTTATGTTGAAATTAACAGAAGGATCGATGGCAAACTGAGGGGCCTTGGTATTTTCAACAGAACAAATGCTTTCCTATCTGGCTTCCCCCTCCCATTGCGGAAGTTCTGATTGAAATTCCACACCAGGACACGCTGAGGCTCAGGTTCTTATACTCCACCGCCTCCACGTTAAAGCCCAAAACTGGGATCGCTCTCACGTTCTCATCGAGCTTCAGCTGATAGAGGAGTGACGTCTTCCCTGCGCCCTCCAAACCTGGGGATGGGCTCCCAAAAAAACCCAAGGGGATAAACCACTTCCTCTCCCCAGCGAAAGGGGAGTCCTCCAGGGCCATAGGGGGGTGTCTATGAACGTCGCCCGCCCGGAGCATGTTTATCGGGGTGTCTCTTTCTTCACCGGGTTCCTGGGGAGTGGCCCCGTTTCCACCCGGGACCCTCCGTTCAATCCACCCGGTTCCACCGACCAACAGGTCACCAGGACACCCATCATGAGGATTCGTCTCTGAAGGCAAGGCCCATGGCGAGACTGGGCCGAAGGCTGCGCCGAGATGCACGGCTGACGCAGCCCGGCTTCCTTTTTGCAGCACATGGCCCCCTAGGTAAAGATTCTTCAACCACCGAGCACCTCCAAAACAGTCCCTCCAGTGCCACATCCGACCACCGTTTTGGGTTCACGCAAGCTGCGGAGACGGGAGGGTCACCTTGGTGGGGGATCACTTCAGGTCAAACAAGGAAACCTGCTGGATGTCACATCCAGCAGGAACCACCATCTTTGGGTGGATGTTTTCCATGATTTTCACTCTGCTTCTGCAAAGGGCCTGTCCAGGTGACCATGGTGACTGTCTGGCGACCATGGGTGTTTGTTCGGAGGTTGCACCGTCTTGTTTAAAAAACACACGGGTTCTTTTTTGGCACACAACTGGAAAGCAATGGCTTTGCACTGCTGTTACCTGTTTGGGACATCCAACCAGAAGTATTGCCTTTTGGTGCCCCAACTTGCTTTGTTCTCGGGCAATGGTCACGCGAACTGTTGGTCACCTGGTGATCTCTTCACACATCACAGAGCCTTGTCAACTCACACCTTAACGCGGCAAGTTTCCGGGGTGCAAAGGACGATCTGCCTCCTCTTTCAGAGGCTCAAGTAGCTGTAGATTTGTGACTTCACAGCCTCCAAAGGCTTCTTTGTCAATCTGTGTGGAAGCATGGATGGTCAAGCTGGTCAAAGAGCCGCATCCTTGAAAGGCCAGGCTTGCAATCTCTTTCACGGAACTGGGAATGGTCAAGGTGGTCAGAGAACTGCAGCCGGCAAAGGCACGCGACCCAATCCGCATTACAGAATCAGGGATGGTCAGGCTAATCAAGGATCTGCAGTCTTCAAAGGTATTGCTGTCAATCTCTGTCACCGAGTTGGAGATGGCCAATGTGGTCAAGGACGTGCAGCCAGCGAAGGCACTGGACCCCAGCAGGCGCACAGAATTGGGGAGTGTGAGGCTCCTTAAGGAGCTGCATCCTCGGAATAGGTTGGACATCAACTAATAACTAATATCAACTGCACTGAATTGCTCAAAGCTGAATGTCACTTTTGTGCCACTTTTGTCCCAGGTGATCGGTGACCAATGGTAACAATTGGGGCGAATCTGGAGGGGGACAAAGCACAAATATCAGAACGCGAAAAAAAGAGAGGCAACACGCGCACACACTTCGAACTTGGATTTTCAGTTAATGCAAGTATCACGTTGGGAAGGAAGGTGAGGGAAACGTAAGGTGAAAGGTCAGCGTAACTGAAATGTTTAACAATCTGTTCACTCATCTGCAGAAGCGCGGCTGAACGTCGGCGGCTGAAGGCAGCGGTGGGAAAACCTGTTTGGGGGTGGTAGCATGAAGGACCATGAAAACAAAGAACAGCGGCAGGGTGGACCAGTGGAGTCATTGTGTTGAAAGCAGGTACGTCAGTTCCGCGTCCGGAACTGATATCAGTACCGCCACAGAAGCCTCTTCGTTGGACTGTCACTTCTGTGGGGTAGACAGTCCCCCTGCTTGTGGAGAAATGGTGGTGGAAAACCCTTTGTCCAGGGTGGGACACACACACACACACACGTCTAGTCGACTATAGCATCAAAAGGTACCACCAAATCTTTTGGAGGCTTCTTCGTGACCTTTTTTGCACCAAACAGGCGTGATAACATGTAATGTAGTAGCATAGGGAGCCCTTTCAGGGCGACGACAGGGTGTCCACGATTCCAATCGTCACAACAGCTTCGATTTGGGCGTCTCCGAATTCCAACGACAAAAGCCAATCCATGACGTGAATTGGCGTGTGTGAGGACAGCCGTTGATGGTACAGTGAGCCACAGGGCAAGGTCGTGCCCAGTCTTTGACACCCCGCATGGATCGTCGTGCTTTTAACAGGTCATGAAGTGGTTTCCACAGTGAATTTCACAGCTGGCCCTTCCTTCCAACATCCGATTGCTTTGGGGTCCTTCTCATCCCAGGATCCTCTGAAGGCTCGGCATCCGATCTTCACCAAGGAGTTGGACAGGCTCACGCTGATGAGAGAGGTGCAGGACTCGAAGGCAAAGGATCCAATCCTTTGATCTGCTTCTTTTGGACGGCAAAACGCCACGAATCACCCGGAAACACGGGGCTTCACTTAGACCAGTTTGGGATTCCACCGCGGGTTTGGGGACGCTTCCCCCGAAAAGGGCACCGTTTTCGGGATCCAACGGGATTCCGTTCGGAACTCTTCCGTCTTCGTTCCAGAAGGCGACACGTCCTACCCGTCCTCGTCGATCCCGAAAGGAACGCCGTTTTCGGTCCTTCGCCCAGACTCTGCACCACGGATGGGAGGGACAGATCGCCCAAGGAGCGACAGCCTTCCTTGGGAAGGGAAGCGACCGATGGTGTTCAAGTTCACCGGGTGACTGGTGTGGTGGAAGATGGAGGCACCGGGTCATCATCATAGTCATGAGACTAGTCATGAGGTTTCTTGGAGAGGCAGTGGTGAGTTCGCAGTGGCGTCCACTCACTGTATTTCTTGAGTAACTGCCATTTTCGCAGGAGATTCGACCAAAGAAAGTCACTGAGATGTAGCTAAGTCTAGCAAGACTCTCAACGAGTTGAACATTCCTAAGCTAAGCCTAGTAGAGGCATTCCCGGGAAAAGGAAGCATTCACTTTTCTGGAGCCGGTGGCCATCGATGGCCATGATTCGCACCTGGTTTTCACAGAAGATGCTCTTCCAAACCGGGAAACTCCGAGAGATTCCAAGGTGGAAACTGCTATGTTCCTTTGTCGGTTTCTTGATGTCCTGAAATTCTGGGGATGCAGGAAAGGACCAACATCACGTGTTCATTTGCTGGTCAAGACCCAAGACCTCCTATTTGCCCCGCAAGATGAGGTCCGTAGCCGTGTTGCTTCACTTTGGGTGCACCCCCTGTGCCGAGTCGTGATCCGTTCGAGTCCGAACCGGTGGGTGAAGTGATCAACGGACGTCGCCAAAGCTTCAAAGGCGTGGTCGCCAATGGCAGTCACTGAGTCCGGGATGACCAAGCTCTCTAAGGAACTGCAGCCAGCGAACGCGCAAGCTCCAATCCGTCTCACTGACTTGGGGATGCTCACGCGTAGCAGGAGACTGCAGTCATTGAAGGCATGATCTTCGATGATGCCTACCTGGAGTTGGCTCGACAGGGAGTTTCGAAAGACACACGTGGTATTCCCCACAGTATTTCCTATGTAGAGAGTCTACCACCATGAAATTGTCCATAACGCGATTTCTTTGGCCATGGTCCCGCTACCAGCACAGCCGCACAAACAAACAAACAAACGAGCAAACAAACAAACAAACACCCTGGGAAAAGAAGCTCCAAACCAGCAATGCCAGGCTGCAGATTCTGGGATACAAACGTCCAGTAGCTCCCATGAACAGCAGCATCTTTGGCTAGCGCATTCCACAGCGGGGTTGGTGAACACGACCTGTGCACTGGCACTCCAGCCGGTCTGGAAAGACCCCAACACAGTGTTAAGCACGTAGAAGAAAACAAAGGTAGAAAAGAAGAAACGAACTTCCGCGCAATGACCATGAGCATAGATATGAGAGCATCCATATGTTTATTCGCTTGTTTCAGTGACACCAAATCCTCCAATTAGTGATGGACCAACATCTCCGAACATTCCAAACCATACCCAAACACGACCTGTCTGGGACTGGCATACATACCTCCGCTTGGGGTGGTGCTTTTAACGGGGTGAAAGTAACATATGCCAGTTCCATCAGTGGCATCTGGGATAGATTTTCTTGAATCCATCGGTCTTACTGCTTGCGCACAAGAAAGTCACACGAATCGATGTGGCAAACTGGGAATGCGACGCGTCTGAGAGGCACGCAGGTTGCCCCCCCCTCAAACCGAGACCAGAGGGAAGGTCGGGAACGCCCAGATCTTTGGGTTCAACACCCCTTCGGTCAACGGCTAAAGAGTTCCAACTCAGGTGGTTTAGGGTGTGTGTCTTGATGTGCAGTCTTCACCCATATCAACTGCAAGAATTTGCACAACCACCCCCACCTGCACTTCTGAAGTCGGGGAAATCGCTGCGACCACCATCTCATCGTCCTCGAACCTCCTGAGTTTGCGCCGCCCGACCTACTTCCCGAGGCCCTTGGCAGTCCCTTTTTGGACCTTTGCGGTGCAACGATCCTCTTGTTGCGGTCAAACTTTCAACACATCGTGAAAGAATTCATGCATGCGCAAAAGCTGGAGAGCCATATTCTGAATAACTTTTCCCGTGTCTCAAGCTCAACCCAGGCTTCTTGCCATCAACAACCAGTTGCACGGAGCTCAGTTGTCGGGTGAGATCATCTTCAGATGGATTCCATGCCTGCCAGGCTTTCTTGCAACCAAACCCACATGCTTGGAGATATGCCCGTGCAACAAACCAACTAATAGACACGGTTCTATCCACTAGCTTTACCCGCAACATGTTGGTGACAAAAACGGAGCATTTCGAATGAATATGAATTGTTTAGATCTTTGGACCCAAACTGCAGCTTGCTTAGCTATGACCTCCCCTCTCCTTGAAACATGTTTCTTCGTCCATGTCTGTGCAGAAAACTGCAGCTCTTGCCTTCAACTTCTGCTTCAAATCCAGGATGGTCGTCTCCGGCAGAATTCCTTCCACCATACATACCTTGGAGAGAAAAAGGACATCTTCTCTCTCCAGATTCCACCAACAACTCTCAGTTACTCTCCCAGCTATTGAACAACTGTATGGGTTGCGACACCCTCTCGAGAAGAATTCTAGAACCCCAGCATGTCACCCCCCCGGCGAACTCTTCACATGGCTCAGCTTTTGAAGGCCATACCGTGAGGGCATTTCTGAAAGGGTTTGTACAATATGCAGGATAAAGCTTGATGAAACCACACACTGATCGACAAACCAAACCAACACAAGAACAAACATCGGATGAACACAAACACTGGCCTCAACCAGCGGTGCGCTTGCCAGTCTCTATGTTATACAAGGGTCTGACTGGTCCGCAAAAATGATCCCAGAATCAGTTAAAGGGAACATCCACAGGACTGAAAAAGCATGGTTTTCTATAGTTTTGGGGTGACGACAATACCAGGGTTTCCTGTAGATTTTTCCCTCCAACCATATCCATTTGGGGCCTCTCGACACCGGCTTTCAATCTCACCACGACACTTGGCCACTTATCAGCTGCGCCCGCACGTGGCCAAACGACTCGCTCATGGCGGCGCTAGTAGCTTCTTGTTACTAGTCGAAAGGCCATGAGCCCCGTTCGTAGCGTCCTTGCTCCTAGTAAGGCCAGGACACACACCGTTTTGGCTTGGGATGTGTCGTGGCACCGTGGTGTTGGAGGTGTTTCTTCCGAAAAGAGATGCCCAGCTTCGGGATAAGAGCCACGCTGGAGCGAGAGAACTGGTCTGAAAGAGAAGCGACGGGTGTAACCCGGGTCCAAGAGCTCGACGTATTTCTACGGACGTGCTGGAGCTACTGGGCTTGGATGGAACGGGACACTTTCTTTTTGGGCCCCCAAACAAGAGGAGAGGCGTGACGACGCCTCCCCTCACTACCACAAGGTCGATGAGATGGTCTAGCAAACCCCAACTTGCTCAGTGCTGCCCCAACTTGGTTGGACCCCATTTTGGCCCAAAAACCGCACTCCAAAACCGGTCCGACTCGCACCGACGGTGTTCGCCCGGGTGCAGCCCGGAGCGGTTTGTTGCGCTGGTCCGAGAGTCGAGCCTGGAACCCAGCCCCGTTCGTAGCGTCCGATCGCTCCGTTCGTAGCGATGCTAGGAGCCCCGTTCGTAGCGAACATTGTTACTATAGAACCGATTCAAGTGTTTTCCAACCGTTCTCTAGGCAAACTTTGGATCTTTCTCCAACCGACTCGCACAAGGGGGAGCGGAGAACCCCGTTCGTCCACACCACGGTGTCACGCGCTCGCTTCGCGAACCCCAAGACACCCCCAACGACACCGAGACGACCAACGAAGCGACGCGTTTGGTGAAGTACCCAGTAGCTTTGGTAGTGGAGTGAGTTCACAGTCTCACACAAACACCACATACATCGATCAACCGAACGGAATCCCGGTTCGCGCTTCGAGTCGCACATCGCGTCTTCGTGCGCGTCTCTTTTGAGCAGCAAAGCCTGGTGCAAATCACCCGTTGATCCCATGCGTGCGGAGCTTCTCGAGCACCCAGCCCTTGGCTCTTTCATGCACGCTATTCGTCATGGGCAGAAAGTTCCGCAGCTTGTTAGGCCATGTGGCCAGGTCAGCTTCGAGCGTCTGCAATCGACATGCCTTGGGCCATGAAACGACTGCTTGGGCCAAGAATGGCCACATGCTTTCCAAATGGGCAGGAGGGGGTAAAGGAAAGAATTTGACGCCAGCTTTTTGAAGAATGAGTGGCCACAACTGCGTCAAATGCTCCTGGCACTCCCTTGTAGTCAAGACCTGCAAATGATGCACATGGTCTTCCAGCTTCTCTTTCATAATATCTAAGCACTGCCTGGTCCTTCTCTGCAAGCCATACTTCACTGCATGCTGCAAGCCAACACCATCCACTGGCACCTTTGCGACCAGAAAATCCTCGCACTTTTCCTTCAAGGCATCAATCTGATATTCGTCAGCCCATTGGGTAAGAAACATAGCGCTCTCCTGGGTCAAGGGTTCCATGGTGTACAGCTGTAGTGCTTTGTAGAACTTTTCCAGCTCACTTTTTCTCTTTCCTGGTAGTTGGATTGATGTCCCAGTGCCCTCCTTCATAGCACTGCTCAACATTTTGGCAAAGACAGGTGAAGCAAGCTCCAGAATGAGGGAATGTACTTCAACCTCACCATCATCCACCAGGATTTTCAAATCTGGCTCCACCCTTGCTCGCTTGGCTGGAGGCTCGCTTGGCGGCTCGGACGACATGGTCACGTCGTAGGTGCGAAAGGTGCGGTTCTCTTCGTGTGAACTTCCGTACGTGTCAAATATGCGAGGGGCTGACTCAAGCCAACTCCACCGATATAACTCCCCTAATTACATGTCCCGCATCCTCCAAGGCCGCTGCTGGTTGGGTTTCCTATCGGAAGGGGCCGCCCCACCGGATGAGAATTACTCAAAGGCCGCTGCTGTGGCTTCCTTTCAACTTCTGCAGCCTTTGCTTGAGAAGTCCCCGAGACGCTTTTTGATTCGCTTTCCACCGAACAACCAGCGAACTCGCCAGCAGTTTATCCAGCTGTTCATGGCGAAACGGATCAAACTTTCAGATCACCAAGTGTTCTGTCCAGCAACTATCAAGCGTTCTGGAGTCACCAAGTGTTCTGCCTGTCCACTAATTCAAGGGCCTAGGGTATTGTACACGTTCATCCATATGGAAATCATGAAGACATGTCCACCTCATCCAGGGGCTCGTTCAAGTGACCAACAAGAGCACCCCGTTTGGGTCCCAAACACGTTGGGCACCCAACTCCATGGAACTGCTAACATGAACCCTGTGGTTTGGTTTTGGCCCCCCCCCCTGCAGGATGGTGTTGCTCTACAAAAACCCGTGGTTTTCAGGGCTCATGCTAGCTACGAACGGAACAAAGGGCATCACTACTAGGAGCAAGAAGCTACGAACGTAGCTCCTGGCAATACCACCTTCCAACGCATGGACCCACGTCGCCATCGCCCCCCCCCCACACCTGCGGTCGGCATCGCCGTCGGCCGCGCCTGGGCGGGTCCAACTGGGCGGTTTCGACTCGTTGGCGTGAACGTATATGTGCATAATTGTGCATACCGTGCGTGCATCGCGCGTGCATTCCAAACTGCTTGGCCATGAGACATGGTAGTTTTTTTCCCGAAAGCATTGCGAAGGGTTCTTCCGGAAAATCCCTTGAACACTGACACTTCGACACTTACACTTACACACTGACACTTCCACACTTGCACTTGAACACTGACATTTCGACACGTACACTTGAACACTTACGCTTTCACACTTACACTTGAACATGAACATGAACACTTACACTTCTATACGTACCCCAGTGTAAGTGGAAGAGTGAAAGCATCCAACGGCAAGTATCCAAGTGCAAAAGTATGCAAGTGTAATGAGTATGCAATGAGTATGCAAGTGTGAGAATGGAAAACTTGCACGGGAGATGTCCTAATGAAAAACATTTACACACGTTAAAAATTCTCTCTTTAAAGGCGGGGGGTGGGACGAACAGCGTCAACCGGAAATGCAACCCTCTGCGGAGATCGTGCGTGTCGAGTGAGCGAAATGCAGGCGAGAGTGCGATTTGTCCGGTGTGCGCGCAACCCTCTGCGGAGATCGTGCGTGTCGAGTGCGCGAAATGCAGGCGAGAGTGCGATTTGTCTGATGCGCGCGCAACCCTCTGCGGAGATCGTGCGTGTCGAGTGCGCGAAATGCAGGCGAGAGTGCGTGTCATGTGCGCGAAATGCAGGCGAGAGTGCGGTTTGGCCTGTGCCCGCGCAACCCTCTGCGGAGATCGTGCGCGTCGAGTGCGCGAAATGCAGGCGAGAGTGCGATTTGGCCCGTGCCCGCGCAACCCTCTGGGGAGATCGTGCGCGTCGAGTGCGCGAAATGCAGGCGAGAGTGCGATTTGTCTGATGCGCGCGCAATCCTCTGCGGAGATCATGCGTGTCGAGTGCGCGAAATGCGGGCGAGAGTGCGATTTGTCCTGTGCCCGCGCAACCCCCTCCGGTGATCGTGCGAGGCGCGTGCGCGAGACGCATGCAGGCGAGATTGCGATTTGACCGGTATCCGCGGAACCCTCTGCGGAGATCGTGCGTGTCGAGTACGGGTGGCTGCCTCAGCAATTTTCTATATTCATTCCAGCTCGCTTTTTTCAGTG